TTAGGTTTAAACAAAATAATAAAAGTTATTACTACTAAACAAAATAATAAAAGTAACTTTTATCTCTATGTGTGTGTGAGAATGATTAGTTACTATATGAGAAAAAGGAATTCACTGCCCTGTGTTAGGTTAATTGTGGTATTTCCCTAATCATTGAAATGATTTAATTTTAGTAAGATTATGTAGAAAGGGGAGTTCAATGCAACATGAACCTAAAGTATTTGTCAAAATCTTAGAAGAGGGTACTGTTATCAAATTCTCTCTTGTCTCTTAAATACTTGTATATTGTTTTCACCATAGAATCTGTCTTCTCTCTATCCATATTGTGGTTTTTCATTTTTTCTGCTTCACTATTTTAATATCATTGCCATTTTTCTTCATTATAAAAGTAGTTGAAATGGAGTGGACTACGTAAAGATGTGTGATCAAAGGGAATTCATGAAGGGTAGGGGAGTTAGACTAGGTCCTCTTTTAAGATTGTCACATTTTAAGGGTTTATGACTCCAAATTGTCAAGTGTTGGCAAGCTACAAAATAATCTTTATTATATCATTGGAAATTTTTCCCTTTATATGTGTTAAGGTTAGCATGAATGGATACACACACATGTAATTAAGCTTTGATTGTACTGCTGATAAATTCTCTCTTACCACTTTCCTTTCTCCATTGGGAGAGACACAAGCATATGCTTGTATTCTATCAGTGATGATATCAGAAAGTGGAAGACATTAAGGAGTGTACAGTTTGGGGACTTTGTTGGGGAAATTTATTCACTAGCATTCATTCAAACCAATAATACTGGTTTTTATCCTGTTTGTTTAAGTGCAGGCAAGCCTCTCATTCCCATTCTGTGTTTACTTCTCTTAAAATATTGGTCATGCTTTTCTGAATATAGATATATTGTGAAAATTAGTTAAATGTAACAAATTTTGTTTGAAAGAAAATTTTTTTCTTTGAAAGAAAATGCTCTAAATTAATTTTGCTATTTTGAAATATTGTTGAAGATTTTAGTAATGCAGTAGAGAAATCACATCAGTGTTAAATTTTTAAATTATTTTCAAGATAACATAACTTAGTGAATTCATACATATTATAATATTAATACAATTGATAGTATGCAACAGAGGTGATTTTACAATGAGTAAAAACTCAATTTTCATTGTTATTCAAGTGGCTTGATTTATACAACTTAATTTGTTGAATATTCATTCCTAAGACTCCCTCTAGTGTCTAGGTTTGGAAGCATTGTTTGGTTAACAGGCTTTTTAAAATTTTTATTTTATTTTTTATTTTTTTGATAAAGAGATGGTCCCACTCTGTTGACCAGGCTGGAGTGCAATGGTGCAGTCATAGCTCACTGCAGCCTTCAACTTCTGGGCCAAAGTGATCCTCCTGCCTCAGCCTCCTGAGTAAGATAAAGAGATGGTCCCACTCTGTTGACCAGGCTGGAGTGCAATGGTGCAGTCATAGCTCACTGCAGCCTTCAACTTCTGGGCCAAAGTGATCCTCCTGCCTCAGCCTCCTGAGTCTCTGGGATTACAGGTGTGAGCCACCCAGCTAGATTTTCTTTTTATAGTTACCATTCAGTTGGATAGATTTTAAAATACAGAGAGGATTATATTTTTTCTTCAGTTTTTTTTTTTTGCTTATATTTTTCTTAACAGATGACAAGAATTGACTTATGTATTGTTCTTGCATAATTTAAATATTGCAGGTTTAAAATCTGCTGTTCTACCACTTTCAGAGTGCCATTTTTCACATTATGGATTATTAGGTTGAAAATTTTTCTGATTTAAAATCACTTTTAGCTATACTCATTTAGTTACCTTGCTTTAATCACAAATAGATGTAGGCCACAATGACTAAATGTTGGACTCTTTGAAGACAGGGCATTTGGCTTTTTATGGCAGGCTTTTGAGTACCTAATATATTAAACAGAAACTAAAACAATAACAAATAATCTCCTCCAAATTGGTAAGCTACACCACCATTCAAATGACTTAGCTCATTTCTCCACAAATCAGAGGTATTACAATTTTCAAAGTAATATTATCCTATGTTGGGGTCACTTTAAACCTCTTTCTTAATGATAAGTATATGAATTGAAACTACTGTCTTAATATATATTATTTGAAAACTGAAATAATTTGTTTACATACTATTTACTTCATGGTAAACTATCAGAATATGTTCAGATACTGTTTATTTCTTGGTAAATTACATAAATATGGAACCAGAGCCCAAATAAAGTCCAGAAACTCAGGGACATTAAGTATACACACACACACACAAGCATTTGGGTTTTGGTGACCAAGGTTTGCCAATGTGGAAAAATGAGTAGCAAATTATGTTCTCCTAGGAGAAAGTCATTTGTTAAGCTTAAGATTCTGTGGCATTGATTATCATTGCCTATTGCGAAAATCAGTGTTCCTTTATGTAAATAATCACATTTTAATACTTTTTATGTATTTCAGGGTGTTGATGATGCCTTCTATACGTTAGTTCGAGAAATTCGAAAACATAAAGAAAAGATGAGCAAAGATGGTAAAAAGAAGAAAAAGAAGTCAAAGACAAAGTGTATAATTATGTAAATACAATTTGTACTTTTTTCTTAAGGCATACTTAAGTAAAAGTGGTAATTTTTGTACATTACACTAAATTATTAGCATTTGTTTTAGCATTACCTAATTTTTTTCTGCTCCATGCAAACTGTTAGCTTTTATGTTAAATGCTTATTTTAAAATGACAGTGGAAACTTTTTTTTCCTCTAAGTGCCAGTATTCCCTGAGTTTTGGTTTTTGAATTAGCAATGCCTGTGAAAAAAAACTGAATACCTGAGATTTCTGTCTTGGGGTTTTGGTGCATGCACTTGATTATTTCCTATTTTTCTTACCAATTGTGGACGTTGGTGTGAAACAAATTAATGAAGCTTTTGAATCATCCCTACTCTGTATTTTATCTAATAACATAAATGGATTAATTACTAATTTTAACTTCAGTTGAGACTTTATGATTGGTTTTACTGAAACATTGAGGGAACACAAATTTATGGGATCCTGTTGATTCATCTTCTAGGCATCATGTCCTATAATTTGTCATCCTTAATGAATGTAAAGTTACACTGTTCACACAGGTTTTTGTCTCTCTTTCCACTGCTATTAGTTATGGTCACTTTCCCAAAAATATATTTTTTCTACAAAAAGAAAAAAATGGAAAAAAAATACAAGGCAATGGAAAAATAAAAGGCCATTTCCTTTCCATGTTAGATAAATTACTATAAGACTCCTAATAGCTTTTCCTGTTAAGGCAGACCCAGTATGAAATAGGGATTATAGCAGCCATTTTGGGGGCTATATTTACATGCTACTAAATTTTTTAATAATTTAAAAAAATTTTAATGTGTATAAAAAATTCTCATAGGAATTAAATATAGTCTCCCTGTGTCAGATTGCTCTTTCGTAGCATAACTTTAAACCTTTTCTTGAACTTCAGTCTTTGAAAATAGTTTTAATTCTGGTAGTGATATTAAAGAATATCTGGGCCAGTTATAGCTTAGTAGCTGTTAAGGAGACCAAGGTTGCAAGGCCAGGCCTTGTGTGAACCTTTGAACCTCATTGAGAGTTTCACAGCATGGACTGCATCGCTATGGTCATCCAGTGTAGTCATGCATTGGTTGGTCAAAGTGGGGCAACTATGAGAGAGTTTGGGTAGCTCAACAAGATGCATTCTCAGTATATGGTAGTCCTACTGACAAATCAAGAGTATCACTTTTGTTTTTAAAAAAACTTTTTGTAAAAAATTACTTTTAAATATTAACTTGAAAGTTGAGATTTTAGGGTGTGGGGTTGCCAAGACATTAATTTTTTTTTTAAACCAATGAAATGAAAAAGTTTCAGAATCTAGGTTTGGCTGGTTCTCTTAACACTGGCTAAATTAATGTTTCATAAACGCTTTTCAAGTCTGATCCATATTTAAGAATATCTAATGCTTAAAAAATTAACATTAATAAAAAGTCCTTTCAATACATTTAAAACGTTACTTCATTTGAAATATTTGAAGTGAGATGAGATGGTGTGGTAAGGTGAAAATATCACTGGACTAGGAGGAAGGTGACTTAGATTTTAGATATATGTATTAGAATTCTAATTTTGGGCAAATCACTTACTATCCATTTCTTCATGAAAAAAGAAGTCATCTCAAAGGCTTTGTCTAACTTCATAACTATGTGATTTGATTTACATTCAGTTTACATAAGGATATACCTGTTTGTCAAGCTCAGCACAATCTGTAACTTTTTACCTGTGTTACCATCTTCAGTACCAGTCTTGGGCAAAATTGTGCAAGAGGTAAAGTTTATATTTGAATATCCATTCTCCAGTTCTAGGATTCCTCTCCCATATTAGTGTCATCTTGCCTGCCTACCCTTCCATATGTCTCATGACTTCATGCCATTTTTTTTTAATACTTTTAATTCCCCTAACCTCAAGATTTATTGCTGCTATGGATATCTTCATGAAGGTTTCCCATTAAGTTACATCAGAATGCCCTACATCTTATTTCCTCAGAGCTCAAAATAATCTGACAAATATTATAATGGGATTTGACCTTGTAGCTAATTTTCAGGTTGTGGCTGTAGTAATTTAATCTTGATCCTTTGAACATCATCTGTTTACTGCTCGGTCTATTAGTGACTAAGTAGGAATTTTCAAACCTGGTATGAATAGTCAGAACTCTGTCCAGCGGAAGGAGAATTTAATAAAGGTAGTGCTGAAAGAATTCCTTAAGTAATCTACAACTAGGACTAGCCCTGGTAATAGTGATACCTTGCATTGTGTTAATAACTCAAAATCTTCTTATAATGAAAAATACTTAAACATTTAATTCATAAGCTTTTTTGCAGAATTCATTTATTCAGCAGATATTGAATGCCTGCCAGATGCCAACCATTGCACAAGGCATGGAGGATATGGTGTTCCCAAACAAGAAACAGTCCCTGTCCTTAGGGTAGTGCTAGAGTGGTCTGTAATATCTTAGTAAGGCCCTAGGTGCATGACCCAGAGATAACACAATGCATATTTTAGTTTTGCAAAGAAGGGGTTTGGTCTCTAAGGTTTCTTCCAATTCTAAATAATTGTTTTGCTATGATTCCAATGTAATTGTTTAATCAAGCTATTTTATATAAATCACGTCACTGTTTTAAAGGAATAAACTTGATTATATTGTTTTTTATTTGGAATAACTGATTCTGTTGCGACAATTGTAGCACACATTAAGTTGTGCGTCAGATACTAATATTAAAATTCCCAAACATTCCAGTTTTTTCTTTTAAAATAGACTTTTACAGATTAAATACTGACTTCTAAAACAGTTTTGTTGATCTGGGTATGAATAAACAGGTGCCTGAACTAATTCACAGAAAAGGAAACTTGTGTAAAAATAAGATTTCTGAAACACTATGGTAAACTACAGATTTATGGAACATTGTCTAGGTAGGGTATTAAGGCTTGTACAGTACTTTCTCTGGTTATTACACAGAGAAAGAAATGGCCATGCTTCAGGAACTGCAGTAAGTAACTGAGAGGATGTTTAGGACTTAGGAATTTTTGATGTAGCTGGGCATTTTTTTAAAGTAGTGCTAATTATCTTCTATTATATGAATTTTGAATGGTTTAACAAAAGTTTTGTTTTTGTAGAGATTTTAAAAGGGCGGAGAATACTAGAAATAACAAATGTTATCTAATTATTACAGCCTTAAAGATAAAAATCCTTGTTGAAACTTTTTTTTAAGTACTAAATTACATAGTCTTAGGCATTAACATGTTTGTGGAAGAATATAGCAGACATATATAGAATAATTTGAGTGAATACTCCCAATTAGGAATTCTAGGCTCTATTTTAACTGAGTCACACTGCATGGGAACTTAGAACCTAACTTTTATAGGTTATCAAAACCTTTGCCACCATTGCACAATTTTGTCCTAATATATATAAAACATTTGTGAGGCATGTTAAGTTACAGTTTGCACAAGTTCATCTCATTTGTATTCTAGTGATTTTTTTTCTTCTAACCATTTTTTTCCCAAACAGTATATACATACGTTTAGGGTTTATTTTGTATGCAGTAAAAAATGCCTGAAGTTATTTCCATTTATCAAAAAGTAGTAATTTCTTGATAATTATATAGTGATGTTTTTAAAAACCCCAGCAGTTACTTTAACTTATATTTAATAACTTGTGTTAATATTCAGTAGCATGAATTCTGCATTGAGAAATTGAATAACATACAACTAGTAGTTATAAATTCTATCAAAATGAAAATTACTTCTTTCTAAAGATATATTTACATTAGTTCTTGAAGAATAGTCATAACTAGATTAAGATTTGTGTTTCAGTTCAATAGTTTGAAGTGCCTGTTTGGGATGATGATAGGCAATTTAGATGAATTTCGGAAAAACAAAGTTTTTATCAGCAGAAATGTCAATTACAGGGGGTCTATCACCACCGCCCCCTCAGCTAACTGGGTTACAATAATGCTTTATCCAAAAGTTTCCTATTCCACTGTCTTGTGTTTTCATGTTGAAAATACTTTTGCATTTTTCCTTTGAGTGCCAATTTCTTACTAGTACTATTTCTTAATGTAACATGTTTACCTGGAATGTATTTTAACTATTTTTGTATAGTGTAAACTGAAACATGCACATTTTGTACATTGTGCTTTTTTTTGTGGGACATATGCAGTGTGATCCAGTTGTTTTCCATCATTTGGTTGCGCTGACCTAGGAATGTTGGTCATATCAAACATTAAAAATGACCACTCTTTTAATTAAAATTAACTTTTAAATGTTTATAGGAGTATGTGCTGTGAAGTGATCTGAAATTTGTAATATTTTTGTCATGAACTGTACTGCTCCTAATTATTGTAATGTAATAAAAATAGTTATGGTGACTATGATAGTTTGTATTTCTTGATGGAAATTTGAAACATTTGCCTCACTATTGATACAGAATATTTTATCAGCTATAGGCACTATAGTATACCAGTGAATCGTTCCTGCAACTTTTAAGTTAGAAATATTCTTTATTTTTAAAAGGCACTGGGAACATTATGTAAAGGTTTAAGTGTTTGCTTAAACTTAAAACCATAGTAGGTTTAGGTTCACTGCCTTATCAACTCATTTTTAAGTAGACACAAGTCAGAGCTGCCTTTATGACAAAAGCATACAGAACATTATTACTTTTTATCAAAAAAGGTAATGGTGCACAGTAGGTGATTTGTTTTTTAAGGCCCAAAGGTAGCAGCAGCAAAATTAATGGACATAATTGAATAGTTATGTATATAATACCAGTCACCGGCAGGCTATTTCAACATCAAAAGTAATCTGATGACTCCATACATACTATTATTTCTGTAACTACATTTAAATCATTACCAGGTACTATTTGTTCTATAGTGAATTTTGAACATGTTAGTTATTAATGTACCAAATTGGTCAAAAATAAGGTAACTCCTTCAAAAGTTGAGGAATAAATGTGTAAGAAATTATTTTCCTTATTAAATGTGCAGTAAATGGCATTCTTTTGTCAGTAAAATGGAGAAATGGGCTAAGAATAATTGGCTAATCCTCTTAAGTTAGAAAATTTGAGTGTATTACGTTTTCATTCAAAATTGGGTACTCATTAATTTATAATTGGTAGTATAGCTAAATTGCTTTTAGTATAAAAATTGAGCATAAAGGGTTGCACTGATAAAGCTCTCCATATGGATAGAAGTTGAAACCTATTAATTTTAGTTCAGTAGGGCAGCTCATGTATTTTTTACACAACATGTATATTTTCCCATTTTAAATTAGAATTATTTTACAATACTTGGAATACAAAAACAGCTGGCACTGGTTTTCAGCTTTCTAGTAGTAATGATCAGTTACTTTTGTTGGTATCTGAATAATAGCGTTGTTTCATGGCTCTGTATTTCCTAAGGAAGTATAAGGCTTCTAGCTCTTTCATTACAAATTCACCACGTTGAATAAGTTCTTTGATCTTCTCTGGGTCCTTCACATCTTTGTTTTTAAGGAAAACGTTCCTCAAACGCCTTTTAAAATAGTCTGCTCCTTTTGGATATTCTCGTCCAAGATACAGCAGCTGAAAAAAGAAAGATTATATATTTCTGAAGAATACAAGTAATATAATATGTTTTTAAATTGGCAACATACTTACATTTTTGTAAAGATTCAATACTTCTCCTCTTAAAGAATTGGCCATTTTCATTTGTCATGTAAATTATCCACTTTTATATGTAACATACCTAAAGAAAAGGAAAATTTTTTGCAAATAGCTATTGTCTCCAAGAGAAAAGATTTTACACATTGGAAGATGGTAACTTTTTTTACATTCAAAAAATATTTATTCAGCACTTTTATGTCCCAGGTATGGGGATATAGTTATGAACATGTCAGATAAGATAATCTGCTGTCACAGAACTTCTCATAAGGGAGACATAATAAGCAAAGAAGATAATTAGGAATTGTGAGAAGTCCTATGAAGGAATTAGGATGAGAGAGAGAAAATGGATTGTCACAGCTAGATACATAGATGTACCTCCTTTTATGCCACAGTGGAATGAGTTAGAACTAGATTTGAATACCAGCTGCATAATATACAGATTACTTAACCTTGCTGAGTCTGAGTTTTCCTTATCAAACAGGAGATTGTATTTACCCTGCTCTCAAGGCCAGATCCATTTGAAGGACATTGAGAAGAGGTCTAATCAAATCTGGAAGAGTGCTTATCCAGAGGGAGGTTAAAAACTAGAAAAAACTGAGTTTGGGCCTGGCACGGTGGCTCACGCCTGTAATCTTAGCACTCTGGGAGGCCAAGGCAGGAGGATCGCTTGAGCCCAGGAGTTTGAGGTTGCTGTGAGCTAGGCTGATGCCATGGTACTCTAGCCCAGGTGGCAGAGTGAGACTCCGTCTCAAAAAAAAATAAAAAAATAAAAACAACTGGGTGTGTGAGTCAAGCAGGTTAGAATCAGTGGGAGATGGGAAATAAGATTGGTGGTGAAGTGGCCAAATGAACAACCGTATCATAAGGTTGTTCATGAGCAGGCAGTGTTCAGTGGGATAGATCATGCTACTTTATGTGTAATTTGTTAAGGTTACTTAGGAGAGGCGGTTCCTTAAAGGCACTGGGACAGCCTAACCTAGGAAATAATCTCCATTACTTGTTACAGTTGTGGGGATTAAATCATAAATTCCTAAAATTGCATCCTATCAGGTAGACACAATTCCAATTTGTTCTATTACGTTAAATTTGATGACCTGATTAAAGTGGTGTTTGCCAAGATTGTGCACTGTAAAATTATTTCTCCAGGAACCTGGTCCTTTTAATGGAAAAACAGTATTTACAAACTACAGCCTAGATGGAATATTTTAGAAACAAGGATCTGGATGCTAGAAATGCTCATTACTATGGCATTGTCACTGTTCCCAGGTACTCTAAGTGGACAATGCTACAAGTGTATATATGTATAGATGTTAGTGTGTGTGTATATATATATATATTTACTTTTATATTAATCTATATAATCTGATACCTACCATTCAATTCCAACACTACAGGGTTTATTTTAGTTTCCTCTTTCCATAGTTTTAATACTCTTGTCCAGTAATGAGGAATCTGGTTCCCATTGTCCTCAATAAATTTACTTTTTGGATTATCATCTCTCTTCCCACTATGTAACCAAATTCCTGTTGCTGTCACCACTTAGCGCACACTCTCTACTTTCTGCTTGAGCTCTGCTACCATCCCACACACATCCTCTTCTCCCCATTCCCCTAGTTCCTGTCACATACCCCGCTTGGGCTCAGACAACTTATGCTGCACGACACCCCGCTCCTGGAAAAGTCTCACCCAATTTGGACTCCAACAACCTGTGCCGATGCCCCTTTCCCCCCAAGAAGGCCCTCCTCATCCCAGGCTAGGCTGCTGCTATGCACAACCCCTTGCCCCCCAGAGACCCTCCTCACCCTGTTTGGGTTCCACTACCCCTTGCTGGGCTACTGCCTTGCCAACTTCTTGTCTCACCCCCCCTTCCCCAGATGCCTACCTTGCTCAGTCTCACATTAATGGCTTTGGACTGAATTATTCTGAAGGGCAAGCAGGAAGCAACTTATATTTTTTAAATAGCCTTTTAGATCAGTTTTAAGATTATTTCATAGTTAACTAGTAGAAAATGTAGATTAAAATTATAATACCATATTAAATTTTAAAAATTGTATAATTTAAGTCCTTCTATTTTATTCTGGTTCAGCCTTAAAGTATAATAGTGTAGATTTTTACTGTGACTTTACCTGCTCCCCACCCCCAACCTTTTGGCATTTTGGAAATTTATATCTTTCATAATTTGAAAGGCAGGGTACCAGTGCTTTCATGTATTTCATATTTTAATTATACATCAAAATACACATAAAATATGTGCAAATTAAAGAATGTAAAATATACATCTGAGTACCCATCATTCCAGTTATGAAACGAAATCTTAGAGGGGGATCAGGCACAGTGGCTCACGCCTTTAATCCCAGTGTTTTGGGAGGTCGAAGCAGGAGAATTGCTTCAGCCCAGGAGTTTGAGACCAGCCTGGGCAACACAGTGACACATCCATCTCTATTAAAAAAAAAAAAGCAAAAATTGACCATGTGTGGTGGCACATGCCTAGCTACTGAGGTGGGAGGATCACTTGAGCTCAGGAGTTCAAGGTTACAGAGAGTTATGATTGGGCCACTGCATTCCAGCCTAGGCGACAGAATGAGACCCTGCCTCTAAAAAAAGAAATTAAAAACAATTTTAAAACATCTTGTAAGTCCCCATGTCCCCCTCTCATATTGCATCTCCTTGTCCATCTCTACCAAGATAACATTTAAGGACTTAATAATTCTCCTGCTTTACAGTTTTCCTACCCATGAACATTACCCTAAATAACCTATTAAGTTTTGATAATCTGAGCAGCAAGCATGACTCTAGTAATTACGAAAAGAGGCAAGAATGCTGCTGTTAAATGAAAACCAACAGTTCTAGTCTGGCTTTACGTTCTTAATTAGCAATGTCAAGAGTGAATACTGAGTCTTCCCCCGCTGAAGCATGTGGAAAGATCAGAGTATAGAACTGATATTTGATTTCTGGCCAGTATATAGCAAGAATAGGAGAGGAGGAAGACTATTTTCTGCTTCATGCTCAAAGCCCAACATCAGCTTTCACGGATAGATTGAAACAGAAGGGTAAAAATGAGTGTTCTCAGTTGGTCCAGTCAGCACAGCACAGAAGAGAGCAGGAGTTTCATTACCACATTGTCAAGACAGGGCAAGTACTGATTAAGAATCACGGCAAGATCCTCAGGCAGCAGGGATCTTGGTGATAAAAGCCACGAATGTGAATCATACTGCTTTATTGTGGACTGGCTGCTTTCTATATCAAGGGGGGTACAGAGTTGCACTTGGATCTTTCTTAACCATCCTTCTAGAAATTCCTTTTGTCTCTCTCTTATGTTGGTTATCCTATTTTTTATATTCCAGGAGTTCCACTTTCTGGTTTTATTCTTGTTTTCGTGAGGCACATCCTCTATAGCTTCTTGAAAAGGGTACCTGGAAGGTTAAAGGAGACCTGGGATGTCTAAAAATGGCTGTATTTCTTTGCTAGTTTAGCTGAGTGTAGAATTCTAAGCCAGAAATAATTTTCTTTCAACATTTTGAAGCAGTTGCTCCTCTAATTTTGCTTCCAGCATTGCAATAAAGAAGTTCAAAGCAGTCTGGATAAGTGATCCTTTGTATTTTTTTTCTCTCCCCAGAAACTTACAGTATCTTCTCTAGGAATATTTTGAAATTTTACAGTGATGTGTTGATGTGGATTTATTTTCTTACACTGTGCTATATTCAGTTGGCCCTTGCAATCTGGACACCTGTTTCCTTCAGTTTGGGAAAAAAAATGTAAATTATTTCATTCATGTTTCTTCATAGTGAAGTATAAGAAAAAGTATTTCAAAAAAGATAAATTATTTCATTCATGATTTCCCACCCCTCCCCATTTTCTCTTTTCTCCCTTCCTGGAACTTCTGTTATTTGGATGTTTGAGTTTCTAGGCATGTCCTCTTTCTTCTTCTTTCTCTATTTTTCATTTCTTTGTCTTTTTACTCAATTTTATGGGGAATTTTATCTTCATCTTCCAAGTGTTCTGTTGAGTTTTTCATTTCTGCTATAACTTCCAAGAACTCATGATAATTTTTTTTTCAGTATCCTGTTCTTGTTTTAAGGATGTAACACAGGCAATATTGCAATTGCACAATATATGTATTCCTGAGAAGCCTTTCATCTTGCAGAAAAACACATTAGAAATAACTGGGCTTATGGTGAAAATAGGTTTGGGGCAGACCACTCAAATCTTATGCAATTGTAATAAGAGCACTAGCAAAAATAAACCAGAAATTAGTACCTGGACATTTACTTTGGACCACACAGATTGCTCTCAGCATAGCTGAAGACTATTACAGAGATGTTAAAAACACTAATAGAGTATCCTGGGAACGGGAGTGGGGGCTGTATTCCAGGAAGGAATCAAAGATGCATGGGCAACCTTTGGGGATGATGGATATGTTTATTATCTTGATTGTGGTGATGGTTTCATGAGTGTATATATGTGAAATACATTGAATTATACTTTAAGTCTGGCTTATTGTTTGTCAATTCTACCTCAGTAAAACTGTTAAAAAAATACTAGAAATGCTGGCAAAAGTCTAAGAGCAGAGCTAGGAGACACTGAGATACACATGGAAGTAGACAGAGATTTATCTAAACAATAAGGCTGCTAATTGGTGGGTGGGAGGAGGAGGCTTCCTCTGAGGAGGAAGCCCTGGGTATAGGCACTTATTTTTTTAAAAAAAAAATACCTGAAAGGCACCATCTGCCAGTATAGCAGCTAACCAAAGATCTTTAATTTTCTTGCTGAAGTTCATAAATGTACTGCTTTACTGGCTCTTTTTAGAAAAAAAAAAATCACATAGGAATCAACATTATTTCCATGTTAATAGTTGTGAAATTCCCCTATTTAGCAGTTTATGAGTTAATTTACATAACAAGCATTACAGTGTAGTTGAACAAACTTTTTTTTGAGTTCACTAATATTAGCTTTCTTGAAATTGTTTTACTTCAAATTGCTTTTTTCCTGCTGGCTTTTGTTTCTGTCGCTTCTGAGCTTTCTTCCAAAGTCTGGTAATCCTTTTCTGACAACTCTTGTGAGTGAAAAGATGAAAAGGCTTTTTAGATAGCCATACATACATGGTGAACCTTAGAGACTCGAGCTTCACTTAGGGTGCTCTGAGTGGGCACTTTATTGGGGAATCTCTGATAACAGTATCTTGGATTGTTTCTTTTGGGGTGGTCAATTCCCCAGAGCAGAGTCTTCCAATCTTCTGAGGATTTGCCTATTAAATATTAAAACGTGAAAGCAGAATGGGGGCCTTGGATTCAGCATTATGTATAGCTAAATTCACTTAATTCCTGTTTTCATTGTGCTTCGCATGTACTTTAGATGCCTGAGGATGTCCTAGTCCAGGGACTAGTATTACTTTGTCCAAAAATACACCTCCAGTCTTCTGTGGAAGTGAGGGGTGAAGTTACAAAGAAGTGTTTCTCAAATAGCTTTTAAATAGTCCTCTTACTTCATTCTTCATTCCCAATTCCAGGGCCCATTTCCGTGCCTTTCGAGAATTTTCCAGTATAAAATGGGCTTTTCTCGTGTGCTAAGTCACACTCATTCATGTATTCCAGCTTCTATTTATTGCTGTCATCTCTCCCATATTTCCAATTTATTTTATATCCCTTTACTGAAGATTTAGTGGAGTTATGCAAGGGAGTGCAATTAGTGTATTTAGCCCATTATATTAACAACTACGTCATTTTTAAAACTTTTTTTTTTTTGGCAGAGAGTCATTTCCAGTGTAATTTAATGTTATTGAAGAATGACTCTTAAGAACCATATAACTTTCAAATAATTCAAAATTCAGTCTACATAGATGTAAGTCAAATATCAAATTATAGCCTCTTTAATGCCTGGAAAAGAGCTTCAGCTAACTGAATAGCTGCATTTAATTCACAATTTGTAATCTATGAAAGCTTTTAGGAACCTGGCTTAAGTTGTCCTTTTAGTTAGCCTTTTTACAAATTATGCATAACAAAAGATTTGCCTAGCAAAAATGTAGCTAGTGTGGCTAAGGTAAATTTTTCCAGTTCTTTGATATGTTAACTTGTATGCATTAATGCAGTTTATCTTTATTATTATACAGTTGACCTTCAGGCATTTAGGTTTACTTTAGCCATTGGGAGAAATAGGGTTCACAATTTCGTGAATGAAAAATTTGAGCACAATGGGGACCTGAGGCTGATCCTGAATCCTGCACAAAGTCATGGAAGTTACTGTTGTAAGTAAAGAGCCAAATAAGTTAGGGACTAAGAGAAGTCCCCCAGTACTCTAAGAACTTGGATGTTTGTGGTGGGTGAGAGTGGGATGCAATCTCCACTGACAGCTTTTTTCCCAGGGTTTGGAGGCTAAGGCATTTAGACTTAACCAACTCTGGTTCTGGGTTTACGAAGAATTGTCATTTTACTAGGAGTTATGGTGCCCAAAGTTGTTGATTCATCCCAATAAAGTTCAGATGACAATAAAAGCTGAAGGAAAACTGGCAAAGAAAGGCAGTACAATGTTATTTGCCAATTGGTCGTAGTAGACTTGACTGAAACAACAGGTGAAGCACATTTCCCCAAATTAGTTAAGCCTAGAAAGTTTCAGACAAAAAGTTATTCCAGCACACTTGCCAGCACCAGAGACGGAGAGGGCAAAATCCCTTGCTTTTCATACAGTTTGGTCTAGACCTAGAAACCAGATTATCTAAATAAGTTGAAAGAAGATGGCTATGCATGTTCAGAAGAGGCAAGAACTATGTCGTCTTGGAAGTAAAGAAAGAATAGGAAACAGACCTTCTTACCACTTAAGCAGTTTGCACAAGAAGTACTAAAAAAGAATGAAGGACATTGGTATGATCCCTTACAGCATAGTGACCCCTCCTCCCTATGAGGGAGGCTGACAGAGTGAGAATTTGAGTAAATCGTCTCTTTCAAAGGCCTACTATTTTAAAGTAATTTAGGATTACCATAACACCTCCTTGTCCCCATCAGTCCTAGTTTCAGTTGACTGGGGGTTTTTTAAATCATGAAACATTAGTTTTGTTGAAAAAACTAACTTAAAACAAAAGCTATCTTCTGTATCAAATAGCTATGGTAAACTGAATTAGAACTCCATATGAAGTTGATGTTAAGATGTTTTTATATGCCTACCAGGATTTGGAGATGAGATGTCATAGCTATCACATAACCTTGATTTCTGTTACAATGGGATAACACTTTAACCCACACAGACTAGCTCAGTCCTACTATTTATTTATAAATAATACCTTTAGTAAATGACGTTACAAGGAAGAGAGCACTATAAAATTAGAATTCAGAAATGAGAAATGGTGCCAGTAATTTTAAAGTATTTCAGGTCTTGTCATCCTAAAACAGGGTTTAGGTAGGTCGTAAAATCATAGCGAATTCAGTTGGCCTTTAGGAGGAGAAGAGCCTCCCTTAATTTCCTCTAGTTTTCCTGCTGGTCTAAGGTGCCAGTGTTTCTTCACGTGGGGAGGAGTCTGAAATTCTGAAGGTTGTGTTGCTGGTGAGTACAATTAGTCTGTGACCTTGGGCAAGTAACTTAATGTGTCTTCTGGACCTCAGCGATCGTCACGTGTACAGAATATTTTACCCAGAAATTGCTTCAAATCGTTTCCAAATGTTGTTTACGACACTTAGGGAAAAGGTCATACATGCTGCACAGAAAGTAAACAGAATAAACAGAGCAGAGAGAAGAGTCCGAAGGTCGTTAATCACAAAATAACCAGCTCTCTTTAAATTGCCGAATGAGCCTCGTCCACCTGCTGGCCCTAACCGTGCTGGACCAGGCAGCCCACCCGGGTTGCCAGTCGCTTGTCCCAATCCCATGCCAGCTCCCTTCCTTCTCGAAACCGTCACAGACTCACCCCAACACTTTAGGAAAATAATGAGGGAGAGAGACTGTCAACGTCAGAAGACGCTCAAAATCTCTTCCAAACCCCCTCTAGCCCACCACACACATCCAAAAGCACACCCAGTGGTCCTCGCCCAGAACATACGCACTGCCCCCAGACCCTGGCTTAGGGAAAACAAAAGGAAACAAAACGCCCTTGCGGCTCACTCACTTTCTGGCACGCCGCAGCCGTAAAAGCCTCCAACCGCTTGGACTCCTGGACCAGTCAGCCGCGAAGCTGGGCGGGGACTGGGGCTTGGGCCACCTGTCAGCGAAGGGGGCGGGGCGCAGGCCGGAAGCGCTCCCGCGCGACTGCGCAGACCGGTACAGGAGTGTCGGCGCTGTTTCCCGGAGTGCAAGTGGACCAAGCTTGTTGTCCTGACAACTTGGGAGCGTTTGTCCACACAACTGAGCTCCGATTTTGCTGACTACGGAGGTCGTGCTTGCCTCTTCATGGTAAAAAGGGAAAATTAGAGAGACGAGCGAGCGTCGATTGTGTTTCACTGATGTTAAATGATGTAATAAGAGCCCGTCATATTTTAGAGGGGAGCGGGTCGGTTTAGGAAAGAACTCATACCCCGGGGAGGGTCGGCCCTCTCCTGACCGGGGGCCTTCCTGTTCTGGGTCCCGCGGCAGATGGGAGTCACAAACCAGTTTCTGCAAACGGGAGATGGCCCAAGCGGTCACACGGTATCGTAAACTCGCATGGTGCTAAACTTGAAAATTTGTCCCAACCTAATAACTTTTAATAATGTAAGACGTTCCCACTAAGTTGCTCTCCTATTGCAACTTGGCAGATTTTTATACCTCCTCGTCAGTTAAAAGCTGATGCAATTTACTCGGCTTTAAAAAGTTATTCTATGTGGTTTTTTGTGAGAATTGAATTGTGAGCCGGGCGTGGTGGTGCGCGCCTGTAGACCCAGCTACTTGGGAGGCTGAGGCAGAAGGATCGCTTGAGCCCAGGAGTTTGAGGTTGCTGTGAACTAGGCTGACGCCACGGCACTCTAGCCCAGGTGATAGAGCGAGACTCTGTCCTCCCCCCGCCCCCCCAAAAAAGAATATGAATTGTGATTCACGGTACTCACATTGCTTCTCGTTTTGTTTTTATGCACTCCTCAAGTGCCATGTTTTTACCAAGGAGACAAGCCAACGTGTAGCTATAAGATTATCTCTGTTCTCATTTTCTGAAATATGATTTCCACCAAGACATCTTCTGTGATTAAATCCAGAGAAAATGAAGAATGTAATTATTCAGTGAATTAACTCATTAATTACCAGAAAATATTGAGTGCATTCTTTGTACTTGGCAGTGGGCTAGAAGCCAAGGATACAAAGATGAATATGACAACCCTGCTATGGGAGACAGATTTTAAAAATTAATTACAATACAGCTTCATAAATGTAACCATTGAAATATCTAAAATAGGGTAACACAAAGTTGGAAATGATGAAATTGCGGGAGGAAGACAAGAGAAGGATGGAGTGGTGCTTTTCAACCTGTTTTAATGTATAAGTGAGTCTTCCACAAGTGGTAGGAAGAAATAGGGAATGGAGAACATTCCTGGCAGAATGCAAGTGGACCTTAAGCCAATTTGAAACTGCTGATAAATTGGGACAACAATAAGCACCTGTTTGTTACTTCCCAAGGGGTACTTAAGTTTCTTCTTAGTTCCTTCTTGCAATTATTCTCAAAGTGTGGACCATGGAACATTTACTTCTAACACACCTGGAGTACTTGTTAAAAATGCATATTCCAGGAACCCACTCAACTCCAAATCAACTTATTAGTTTCCTAGGGCTGTCAAGTAAAGAGCCACAAACTGAGTGGCTTAAACAACAGAAATTTATTGTCTCATAGTTCTGGACACTGGAAGTCCAAGATCAAAGTGCCAGCAGGGCTATACTACATCTGAAGGCCCTAGGGAAGGTTCTATTCAGACCTTTCTCCTAGCCACTTACGGTGTTACCCAGCAATGGGGTGGCTTCCCAACATGCATAGAAGTCAATAATACGGCACTGGCTTTTGAGGAAAGCCAGTGAGTCAACTGGCAAAGAGGGGGCAGTGCTCAAATCTTTCTCCCCAATCTGGGGGTGGGTCAAGCTTTTGTGGCATTTCTAACTAGTCCCAAGTGATGGTAATGCAGCGGGTCTGCCAGGCTTGTGGTGTTAATTAGGTTAACGCTTTTCCCATTGCATATGGCCTGAGCTGTGTGACTTGCAACTTTGGCTCTGCATCATCTGTAACAACGTAAGCAATGGTTGATTGGTTTTAGCTGGTCCCAAGGTTACACTAGTTTTTGATTTGTGACAGCATAACTTCATTCTCCGCATGGTGTTCTCCCTCTGTGAGTGTCTGTGTCCAAGTTTCCTCTTTTTATAAGGACACCAAGTCATTGGATTAGAGGCCTACTCTGTTTCAGCATGCCTTCATCTTAATTTAACAAATTAAATCAGCAATGGACCTATTTCCAGTTAGGTCAAATTCTGAGGTGTACTAGGGGTTAGGACTTCAATGTATGAATTTTGGAGGGACACAATTCAACCCATAACATCTGTTGAATCACAATATGAGAGGGGAAGTGAATGTGTACATTTTTAGTTCAAGAAGATGCATTTCTAACAAGTTTCCTAGATGATTCTTATGCCCTCTGAACTTTGAGAACTACTTTACTATGTAAATGTTTCTTCTGATTTATAGCAGGAATGAGAATATGTACTTACCCCAAACTTGCTTCATATTAAAATCACTAATGAGAAGCGACAATTTGGCCATCTTTAAAATATGGCTACTTGAGAACAGGGGCAATGATATTTACATATTCTGCTGTTTAGTACTTATTTCAAGATAGAAGTATGTTAACTATTAATTGATAGCAAATTTGATAAAAATAGAACCCATTTGTGAAAATTATGTGGGAGCAAAATCTCTGCTATTCCTGTTTATATCATCTCCAGTGCCTCAGAGTGCCCTGTGTGTAAATAGTTAATAAATATCTGCTTAATGAATTAGTGAAATATATGCACTGTTTAAGAA